TTACATATATAAAGTACAATTTATTTTGAACTCAGGGCCTTGCACTTGGCAAGTGCTTATTCTACTGAGCTATCTCCCTGGCCCCTAAACTATCATCCTAAATATTGAGACTAAATAAATAAATAGTGAGCCAATGAAGCCATTTTTTTAAGACTGAGGTGTGGTTTATACTGATTTCAGGCACCTAAATGAAATGCTACTTTCCTAATAGAAAGCTTTTTAAACCAATAAGCAAAATATATTAATTCCTCCCTGAGTTTACATCTTAGATAGTCTGTTACTTTCCAAGAATATAAAACTAGTTCATGAGAAAACGATATAATGCATGTAATATGACTACTTGTTTAATCTAGCAAGATACTATCTTTGTAGGATTGTCACAAGAAGGAAAAACACATTCACATATATCAAAATTAAGTTATAAAACCTCAACTCAACTTTGGGCCTTGAACTCAGTGGACACCTTATTTTTGTTTATGTATATTAAAAGTCAACTTCAGAGATCTCTGGGTAGAACCCAGGGAAATGTAAGATCAACAAGGTCATTACTAATATTAGTATCTGGAGATTATTAAGAATTAACATAACACTTAAGGGGTTATGATATAACACAGCAACAGCTACAGTAACTTCTCTTTTATTCTATCCCACTGTGTGCCAAGTAATAAAGCAAAAACTTCTGAGAAAATGCAAGAGCATTCACTGGCTTGAAGGGGTGAGTAGGAGCCTATACTTTGCCACTTAATACTAACTCTTTCATGTAAGGAACCCAAAAATAAATTAAGAATAGAAAAGAAAGGGACCAAAAGATGGAGAGAAGAGGGAAAAACAAGGGGAAGGGGACAAGAGGAAGGGGACCTAAAAAGAATTAAGATGTGTTATGCTTATGTATCAAGTCTTCATGATGAATATAATCATTATGTACTGTAAACATGTACTAATAAATATAAAAATTAATACAAAACCAGCTATGGAGTTGGGTCTGGCAGTGCAAGCCTGTAATTCCAGCATTTGGAAGGCTCAGGCAGAAAGATTTCCATGAGTTGGAGGACAGCCTGAGCTACATAAGTAAGTACAGAGCCAGTACGCACTGCATGGCAGGAGCCTGTCTCAAAAAAAAAAAAAAAAAAAAAAAAAAAAAAAAAGCTATAGATTTCTCACAGCTTCATTCTTTAACTCATGAAAGGGATGGTGGTGGATACTTTCTTACAAGTTGTTGAAAAGATCAAATGAGATTATGTATAAACAAAGTGTGACAATTAAGGTAGATATGTATTTAACAGGGTTATAGTTTCCAGATTACGCTGTATAAAAACATTTTGGCAGAGTGCCCTAAAATGTATCAAACATTTCATCACCACTAAGATACTATTGAGGCAAACAGAATACTTAAAAGTAGGTGTTCCAAACTATTTATATTTAGTACATTCTACACTGTACTGAATGAGAAGTCTCATTTGTGGGACTCAATCCTTCATGTGGTCCTTAAATGAAACTTTTTTCCC